TCACTGAGAGGGTAAAGTTATGGCTATAAAGGTGAGGATTGGGGGAGAGAGCAAGGGTTGTCTGCGGGTTTGCTTGCCTCCAAGTGCTGTGATGAAGTGACACTTAGGAAAGCCCTCCTGCATGATGAAATGACATAATATCAAACTGGAGGAGCTTTTCTCCACAGGAAAGACCAGACAGAAATCGTGGAGACAGAGATAGAGATGATAGATAGATAGATAGATAGATAGATAGATAGATAGATAGACAGACAGACAGACAGACAGATAGATGAGAGACAGAAAGACAGAGACAGAGAGAGACATGCAGAGAGACAGAGACAACGACAGCGGCAGAGACAGAGAAGAGAAAGAAAGGTGTTGAGGGCAAGCAGCTCCCTGCCTGAAGCTCTTCCCTTCCGTGTGAGAAGGGCTTCGAGGCCGGGGACTGTGGGAACTGAAACTAAACAAACACAAAGCCGGAAGCATTCCACACCCAGAGCTGAGGACAATGCTAAACCAGCTGAAAGGAGAGCCACAGGTGCTGGCCGCAGGGTGTGGCCCAGGTGTCTGAATAAAGCCAGGAGGAAATCTCCCACCTGGCTCTCTTCTCCTGACTAAGGGGTCATACTTAGCAGGCTTCTTTAAAAAATAAAAAAAGATAAATAGAGCAAAACTAAAGAGGGTGTGGGATGCTTGCTCAGCGTTGTTGGTATTCCCTTGGAATACTATGGAACTTTCTAGAGGTGGGTGTCACCCATAGCTACTGGAGCACATACTGTCTTTTTTGTTGTTGTTTTTTTAAAGAACCAATCCTTTATAAAAACGGAATTTTTTCCAGCACACATTTGCCTTTTCACACAGCGAGAAGAATGCAGTGGTAGCAGAGATGAGGTGCCCTCCCATGTCTGCGGTCCCTCCCCTCATCCCCATCCCCATAATTCCTCCTTTATCACACTTCTGCTCCACTCCCTTTCCTCTCCCTGACCACAATCTTCAGCTCCCAGCTCAGGGGCTGCTCTGTCATTAGTCACCTTCCAGACAGGTCCCTCAGACTCCCAATGTCAAATCAGGGAATTCCCCCCACCAGATCATTTTCTTAGGAAAGACAGGCAGAGCATGAGAATGAAAAATAAATTAAGCAGGGTTCACATTTCCCCTCACCCTCTGTGGGTGCAAGACCTCAGCCAAGTCGTCTTCATAGCCTGTGTTCTGCGTGTTGAGTAATTAACCAAAGGGTCTGCATCCAGGCTTTTGTTACTCTTGGCTGATGAAGCATCATTTCAAGGGGGTCCATTTTTCTCAGCTCGGCCCAAGTCACTTTGGCAAGTTTAATCGGGTCTAGCAGTTTTGCTATTTACTGCTGGAATTTGTGTGTCTTAAGGGCACCTTGGGAGTTGAGTTTAGTGACTAACAGATTGACTTAGAGAGAAAAGCCAGGTGGAAACAGAGGTGCTGGGGAAAACACACGTGAGGAAGTGCTGCCCAGTTAGTTACCTCTGTGGTGACAGCCTCTCCCCACAGGCCCGGACTGTTGGGGTGCTCTCCACAATGTGCAAAAGGGTGTGTCTACTTGGGACTGGGATTCACGGTCCTGGGCTCTGTGATTTATGAGTTCTACAGCCTCCCTGGATTTTCTTCATCTGCAGATGAGGTTAATGAACCTACTTTTGGGGTATGTGTTCTGAGGTCACCTGAGGATGTAGCACATTCGCAGGTATCTCTCTGCACACCTCTATCCAAAGCATTCTTGCTTGTTTTCCATAAAGGAGATAGACGCTTGACACTCCACAGAGTCAGGGACTTGAGAGGTAAGAGTGACCCTGATCGTCATAGATGCTGTCATAACTGACCTAGTTTACCCATAGATTTCCCTCACTCTATTCCTCCAAAAGTTTTAGGGAGAGATCCCGATCCCCATTTGGATGAAGAAATCCTGAAAGGCAACAAAGCCCGAAGCCATAATGATGGGGTAACCCCCATGTCAGTGGAAGGTAACAATGGTGATGCCAGTGGCAGCCATGGCAACCACAGCTAACATGCTGAGGGAAATCTGGAGGACCACTCACCCCTTGCTTTAGTATCCTCATCTCATTTCAATGGCAAATACCCATTTTCAAAATAATGGATGCTACAATTGTTTTTCACTAGGATGAGTGGGCTTGGGTGGGCGGGTCAAAGAGTCTATATGCTATGAGAAATCAGTTCTTGTTTAAAGATTTCACTTATAATGAAAACCAGGGAAGACACCATTTTTTGTTTGTTCGTTTTTATAGAAAACCCCAATGCTGTGAAGATGGTAGCCCTGATCAAGGAAATACAGACTTAAAGGAATGTTAGTCAGAACCTGACCATCTGTTTTTCAGAGTTTGACAAGTTGGCTCTGAAAGCCGAAATCCCAAAGGTCTAGAAGGCCGTGGTGATGTCAGTGTAGCAGAAGAGGGCTGGACCCCATACACTATTATCTATCAAGACCCATTAGGGTGCCACACTCATGAAAAGAACTGAGCTGTGATGGGCAGGCAGGTCCAGAACAAACCTGGGTGTGTGCTTTCTGATTTGTGAAAACGGGCACGCTGCCTGACAGGGTGGAAAGGGCAGTCCTTTCAAACATGGCACTGAGTCAAACAGATGTAACTACATTCCACATAATTCTTGCTTGGGTTTTGTTTTCAGTGTTGGGGATGGAGTCCAGGCCTCACATTGGCCAGGCAAGTGCAGTATCACTGACTTAAATCCCTAGCCTTCCATATTGTATTGACTTCATTCTCTGTCTGTCTGTCTTTCTCTTTCCTTCCTCTGCTATCTGTCTGTCTTTCTGAACCATGGTACACACACACAGGCCAGAGCACAAGCTTAGAGAACTGGTTCTCTCCTTCCATCAGGTGGGTGGGTCCTGGGGATTGATCTCAGATTGTCAGATTTGGCAGCAAGCACGTTTACCTGCTGAGCCATGTCGCAGGCCCCATATCTTAAACAGTGAAAGCAAACAGCTGGTTCTTGTACACAGCAGTACATAGGTTACATCACAAATGTAGTATTGAAGAAAAATGGTGATAGTCACTCATTCAATTTAAAAACAAATTTTAAAAAATAAAGTTTTCTTGTAAAAATTGGGAAATCCTTGTCAATATTATCAGAAGTTCTGGACTATGGGAAGGAAACTGGGTGGAACTGAAGCTGGGCTCTGGGGTGGGTGTAAGTCTTTGTTCCTTGGGTCTCAACACTGATGTCTGAGCATGTCTGTCTACTGAAGCTCATCAAGTTGTATTATGAGTATTACGTATTTGTCTTTCTATGTGCCTGGCATCCAGCAACGAAAAGCAACAGCAATCATCCAATGATGTTATAACTTTACGATGACTTTCTCGGTTGCCTCTGGTCACTTGCGTGGCCTGTGATGGAGACTCCCGGCCATCGTGCTCATCCATTTCTCCTCTGATGTCTCTGGACTCTGCCTGTGGCCAGCTCCAGTTCTCAGGTCCTAGCAAGTGTGGTGTAAGTGGATTGAGCTCCTGCACATGGACCTGGGTCTGAGGCCAATCTTAGCTTCTGGAGACATTTACAGCCCTAACATGTCAGACTTCAGGCCAGAGACCAGAGGAAAAATAAACACACCTAAAACCCACAGGAGAGCCCTTGGGCTCTGAAGGTTGGGGAGGAAGCATCCGTGACTCATCAGAGCTTTGCTGCTCTCGGGCGCTATTTCCACGTTGTCCCTTTGAAGTCCACGATAGCTTCTTCCTGGACATCATCTCCCTCCAGCTACCCCTGCTCATGGCATCCACCTCCGTTCGCCTTTCCGTGAGATCTGAGTAAGTTTGCTGTAGCCCACGAAGTGAGTGCTCCTGAGTCAGACGCTGTGCACACTTTAACTGTGCAGGCTCACTCTCCATCCAAACCTAACTCTACTGTCTTAGCTGGGCTTTCTTGCGGTGACCGCGGCAACTCTTTTAAAGGAAAACATTTGGGGCCGGCTTACAGTTTCAGAGGTTTTGCCCATTGTTGTCATGGCAGGAAGCATGGTGGATGCAGGCAGACATGGCGCTGGAGAAGGAGCTGAGAGTTCTACATCTGGATCCATAGACAGCAGGCAGAGAACTGGCTTGAGCTTCTGAGCCCTCAAAGCCCCACCCCCTGGTGACACATTTCCTCCAACTAAGCCACACCTACTTGGACAAGGCCACATCTCTTGATAGTGCCACTCCCTATATATCAAATATTCAAGCACATGAGTTTATGTGGGCCATTTCTCTTCAAACCACACCTACCTCATGGGATAGAAGTCAAAACTTGGAGACTTCACAGTCCCTTGTCCAAGATTAAGCACACAGTAACTAGGAGACACTGTGATGAGTGTAGGTGACCGGTTAGGCAAGTCATTGTGGCAGATCCAGAAAAGGACATCCTTGCATTCATCACTACGGATGAACGACTCACTGGAGACTTGACGGGAAGGACTGTAAGTGAACCCCAGGCACATCTGTCACCACTGATGCCACTGGGAAGCTGTCAGCTTCATTTCTGCCTGCAGACCCTCTTGCTCTCTCTCTACTGAACTCAGCACTGAATGAGTCTTGAATGGAGCTTCTGATTGGCACATGCTAAATCACAACCTGATGTGAGCTGTAAGAAGATCTGGGGAAGCAGCGTGATCTCCACCCTCAGAGTTAGAGACTGAGTGAAGTCAGTCAGAGAGCTAGCAGTAAACATCCACGTCCAGAGTTAAGTTGCAAGTTTATGTGTTTGTGAGTGTTGGGGCAGATGCAAACAGTATGTCTAGGTATGTAGTGCTGCGTGTGTGTGTGTGTGTGTGTGTGTGTGTGTGTGGTGTGTGTGTGTGTGTGTGTGTGTGTGTGTGTGTGTGTGTGTGTGTGTGTGTGGAGGTCTATGGTGTGTGTCCTGGTGGTGAAGCCTTTTACAACTATGGGTGTGTATTCTCTGCCTTTTTCCCTTGTGCAGGGGCTGAAGAGAAAGAAGGCCCTCTCCATCCTCTTCTGAAACCATGTATGTAATAATCTTATGAAAGGTATTTTTGGCCAACCAGCTTCATGACTGTAGTGAACAAAATTAAGTTTACACAAAACACATGCCCTCTTTGCTGTTTAAACACTATTGTAACACTCCTCTTTACTCACAGAATCCCGTTGGAGTGTGTGTGTGTGTGTGTGTGTGTGTGTGTGTGTGTGTGTGTGTGTGTGTGTGATCCTTTCAGCACATAGTAGGCTCATAGCAGAGCCGGTTAGATTTATAAGCATAAGTTTACTAGGTTAATAATCTGAAAGGGACAGACAGCTAGCTGGCATCTCCTGACCCCTCTCCCTCCTCTTCCTCCTCTTCATCTCCTTAACGTTGTGTGGGTACTTTGTCTGCACACTATTTGTGTGCCTGGTACTCACAGAGGCCAGGAGAGGGTGTCAGGACCCTTAGTACTGAAGTCACAGGCATCTGTGAGCTGCTGTATGATGCTGGAAATCAAACTCTGGTCCTCTGGAAGAGCAGCCACTGCTCTTAACCTCTGAGCCATCTCTCTAGACCCTCCTTTTGCTTCCATTCGGGAAAGGAAACCATGCTTATACGAAATGGAACACTCATTTAGTGACCTTGGGACAAGAGAGTAAAAAAAGATGCGGAGCCAGGTGAGTCATCTTGCAGGTGACCAAGATGTCCTCAACCACACAAGCAAGAACTTGTGCCAGAAAGGGGCTGGAAAGTCGGGAGCATGTACTGTTCTTGCAGAGGACATGATTCAGTTTTCAGCACCCACTTTGGGTGGCTCCCAACCACCTGTAACCCTAGCTCCAGGGAATCCAGCACTTTCTCCTGGAACTCACATGCACTCTTCTATACAGACACATAATTGAAAATAAAATCTTTGAAAAATCTTCTTAAATAGAAAAGTTATGTCAAATTTTTGGTGATTTGAAACTGGTGAACCCTATAAGGGTCTTCCTCGGTCTCTGCCCATATTTACCTAACTCTGGTCCTGAATTTCAGAATCAAGGAGGAATTGCACCTACCAGGCTATGATCTATTCTACGATATAGTTTGTAAATATTGAAGTGTGTGTGTGTGTGTGTGTGTGTGTCTGTCTGTCTCTGTGTGAATTAAATGAACATTAAGATGTTTTAAATATAGAAGACATTGCTAAGTAAATGAACTCACACACCCTTTTACGTTTCCAGAATATTTGTTTTGGGAACTTCATGATGGTATTAACATTTGGAAGATTGCAGGAAGTAAAAGACATCCATCTTGTGGGAAGGTTAAAAATCTTTTATTCTAAAATTTACTTTGCAAAACTTGGTTTATCTGCAGCTGGGAGGTAGCTGGTCTGAAATTCAGTCAATTTGAACAGTCATTGCCCTGTTTGATTTTGACTCTGTGGGGCTAGTGAGTCTACTACATGTGGGTGGCTCACCGGCTCCATTCAACAGGGATCTGGGCTGAGCTGGGTTCTACACAGGGGACTGCTTGCCCACTGCCTTCTTGGCCTTCTTTATAGTTTAGCTGCATCGGGGATGAGGGCTTCTTAGACGGCAACTGACCTCCTGGAAAGAGAGCTGAAAGAGGCAGAGCCCAGCTGGTAAGTATTCAGGTGCCATCTTGGACGCCACAGAGAATCAGTTCTTCTATGTGAAGAGTTCTCTGGTCTTAGGCAGCTGTGAATCCCGTCCAGATTTGAGAGAAGGAGGGATGATCTGCATATGGGTGCAGATGTGACAAGGCACAGCACAAAAGGACATATGGGCTCGTGGTTGGCTAGTGGGTTGGTACAGCCATCGTCCTTTATTCTACCCCTCTACCAGGGAAGTTTCCCTGTAAGAGATGCTATTTAGTAGTTTTATGTACAAGGAGAATTAATGGCTGTGGTGGTTTGAATGAAAAGACCTCCAGAGACTCATAGAGTGTGGCACTATTAGGAAGTATGGCCTAGTTGGAGTAGGTGTGGCCTTGTTGGAGGAAATGTGTTACTGGGAGATGGGCTTAGAGGTTTCAGAAACTCAAGCCAGGCCCAGTGGTATCCTCTCTTCCTGCTGCCTGTTGATGCAGATGTAGAGCTCTCAGTTCCTTCTCCACCACGGTGTCTGCCTGTGTGCCTGCCATGGTGAAAATGGACTAAACCTCTGAACTGTAAGCCAGCCCCAACTAAATGTTTTCTTCATAAGAGTTGCCATCATCATGGTGTCTCTTCACAGCAATATGAACCCAGACTAAGACAATGGTCCAGTGTTATTATGCCCCATCCCCTGTCGATGCTGTGCTTCCCTTCTCACTGGGATTCTCCTGAGCTGTGATGAAATCTGCAAAGTGATTTTCTCTAGATCTGATCTCTGGGTTCCCGAACCTCTACTGTTGGGAAGGAAGTAGCCAGTCTGTCCCCAAAGCAGGAGCCAGGGCAGTTTGCCTATGGATATATCTCTCAGTTTGCTTCCACATACAAGACTGACCCTGAACTTTTCCCTTTCTCTATAGGGCCCTAGATACCAAGCTCCTGTTTCAAAGAGCTGAACTTTTGTGTTATTTTGAGACTGTTGTGTTATTGAAGCAATCATTCCTACACCTCAGGTGCTTCCTGAAGACTTATATAGACCTAGATCCTCAAGCTGATGCCCCGAAAGACACTTTCATTCAGATGTAAGACTCCCACCCTCATGGAACTGTGTAGAAGTGACATATTTATTGATCCACAGTACCTGTGCAGATATGAAGGTAGACACACCCAGACACATATGGCTGTTTGTGTTGAACCCCAGCCCCAATGGGACTCTCCCAGTCACTCTTTCCAAAACTCTTGACTGACTCCAGAGCAAAACATAACAATAAACTTGTTTGTGTGCATGTACACAAAGCAATCACACTGCAGTAAAATCCAGATGCTGTAGTATTTTATCCAATGGCCTACAGGCAGAGGGGTGGCCTGACCATAATGGAATCTGCCTCCAGAGTCAAAGGGGAAGTTTCTGGAACCTCCTCCCACCCCAGTGAGACTTCAAGAGGTCATGGAAAAGTTCCTGGTTCCTAGTAGGAACAGCTTGCTGAGAAAGTAGCTTTTATGTGATGCAGATTCTCTGGGAGTGATCCAATCATTCGAAGTCTTTATTGGTCAAATGATACAGAAGCCCAGAGAGGTGAGGGAACCCGACCAAGGTCAGCAAGCTGGAGGGGGACAGAGAACCTCATGAAACTCAGAAGTCCTCCTCTCCAGCCCAGCCACTCTCCAAACATATCCTCCCTCGGTGTGACTGTTGCCTGACGAGTCAGGATTAGCAACCCTCAAGTGCTGATACTCACATTTCTGCAAGGATTACAGAGAGAAAAGGAGAGATGGGGAAGCAAGAAAGAAACAAAGCTCATGAAGATGACAAGGAGAGAATTATGATGGGTCCTTGATGGAGGCTGAACTAGATCATTGTGAATCTGAAGTCACCCCCACTTTGCACATAGGTAGGGGTGGTTTTAAGTGACTCTGTGTGTGTGTGTGTGTGTGTGTGTGTGTGTGTGTGTGTGTGTGTGTGTGTGTGTGTGAATACTGAGAGGGTAGAGGCCGAAGAGCCGAGTTCCCTCAGCCTTGTCTTTGTTTGGGACATTGAGTCAGCAGAGGACAAAGAAAGTACAGATTAGTCGCCCTGTATGTCAGATGCTAGAGGGATTTTGGGAGAGGGAGAATGGGAGAGAGGAGCAGAAGGAAAGGACATGGAAGGACACAGATGTGGAATGTGAACTTGGGAGTTACACAGATGGCTAATTAACCAAAGCCATTTTGAGACTTGACATTTTGAGATGCTAGGACTCTGGGACCTGGTCCTCTTCAGGCCCCTAAATATTTAGTGGAGTCTGGATTACAGCCACCAGCTTTGGCTTTAGGAGGAGTGGGGAGGGGCGGATTGGATTGGAAGAAAACAGCTGGGGTCCCTCTCTCCCAGTTATACATGAAGAGGAGGAGGGGTCTGCCAGCACACCAGCCTCCATTACCTAGAGGGGGCCCCAGTGCAGGCAGGAGGCTGGAGTGCGGAGTGTGAGGTCTTAGACTTGCCTGTCAACACTGAGGAGGAGAAGGAAGGTAGAGTCCACATTGTCCTCACCTCAAGGGCTAACAGTCCTCCAATGACACATTCTTGTTGTTTAGTAGACTAATACCATGGCTTAGTTGTAATGAGGCCTCAGGGACTTCCTAGGGGTTTGGCTAGTCTTAAGGTCAGAGCTGATTTTTACAGAATGTGAGAAGGGAAACATTTCAACCAGGGCAAGGCCTAGCTTCATGGATGCTCATGGTACAAAGAGGGATGGTTCTTTATCAACTGTATTCTGAGCGGAGCTGTGGAGCTGGGACCTGCCTTTGTTTCCAGGGATCTTCCACTCAGTCTCAGATAATGTCATTATAAGATGTCAAAAGCTCCACCAGCTGGCAGCCCCAAGTGACTGTGGAACAAAGACCATACAGGTCCACACAGGACACACAATATGAGGGAGATATGAACCCTATTGTTGTAAGCTGCTGATAGTGCATGGCTGACTTGTTGTCACAGCATTGTCTTGCCTGTGCTGGCTTGTATAGGCTTATCACTCCGGATCACGCACACAATTCCCCTTTCTGCAAGGAGACTGAGAAGGTGAGGATTTAGCTTTCAGTTTCTACTTGGAGTTAGGCAAGAGAGATGTGAGTTGACTGGGTCTTGGATTTGGCAAACTAGAGTCTTTTATTCCTTCCCTGAAAGACCCTTAAGCACCAGACAGCAAGGATAATACCTGGGGGCAATGGGCACACAGTAGAATATAGTCACAAGGGTTGAGGGGAAGGCCAAGCCATCACATTGCTTGTCTTGAAGGCAAGCATGAGTTCCCGAGTACCCAGGAACCACGGGGGGGGAGGCGGCTTGGTAGGTGAGAGTGCTTACTGGTCTTGGGGAGGACCTGGGTTCAGTCTCCAGCACCCACATAGCAGCTCACAACTTCCGGCCTCCATGGGCTCCTGCAGGTACATGGCCCACATAAAGTCAAATACATGTGTATACATGTAAAAATAGTAAGTAAGCAAATGGGTTTTTGAAAAATTACAGGCAAGATGGGCATGGTGTTAATCTGAGCTCTGGGAAGTCAGAGACAGGCTGAACCCTGGGGCTCAGGAGCCAGGCAGCCTAAGCTACCTGGTGATCTCTGGCTCAGGAGAGACCCTGTTTTTGTTTTGTTTTTTAAAGGTGGATAAAATCTGAGACATAACACCCCTAATTATTGTCCTCTAACACACACACACACACACTCGCACACTCACACATATACATACACACACATATACATACACACACATATACCTACCCACATATGAACCACACAAACACACAAAAATAGATGCATGTATGTGGATGTGTGTGCTCACACGACAGTACAGTCTCTAAATCACCCAAGTTTAAAAGCAAAAGGACAATTTTCCTTTACCATCTTCAAATTACTGATTGGGGAAAAAGCTACAGCCCCCAACTTCGAGGCTCTCCAGTTCACCTGTACCCTGAAGAGAACAGTTCTGTTAGAGTAACATAAGGCAGGCTGCTGCAGTGGACACAGAGGGCCCTGTCCACACTCATTGCTTGGGGACCCCTCAGAGTGTGTGTGACGGGGGTGGGTGTTGGTGAGCAACAGCTGTGCTTTCGGAACGTGGACGTGGAGGCTCACACGTGCCTGAGCTCATGAAGAAGAGGAATGGAAGGTTCGTGACATCTGTGAAGTTGGTGACTAAGACGGAATGATGGGGAGGACTTTGGCGATTTCAGCAGAATTCTTTATTCACTGGAGGAGGCGGTGATTGATGCGGGGTGGAGAGGCATGGAGAACAGATGTGGCTGGAGGAGCTGCCCAGAGGTCAGCAGTAGGGAGGGGGCTGGATTCTGTGGGCAGAGTCCGGGGATGCTCTGCTTGGAACTGTGATGGGTACAAGATGAATGGTCCAGCAGGAGGGGCTGAGCTGAGGCCCTGGCTAAGAGGCAGCTGACTCCCCATGACGCTGGAATGTAAAGAAAAGCTTAGTCTTCCATGATAGATGGTGGTGAAACCAAACCCAAAGGGGTTTCTGGAGTTAGCAAAGCCATCCTGGCCTGAAAGGCAGCAATATAATATTCAGAGACTTTGTGCTAGAAGTCTTACAGTCCTCCAGTGAAATGGCTGAAACTCACCTCCTGGCTGCTGCTTGACAAGGTTTGGAAGGTAGGGATGAGAAAAGCCTCATGGAGGGGAATGGAAGAGAGATAAGGTCTCTGTTGGTTACTTTTCCTGTTGCTATAACCAAATTGCCATTGAGGGCCAGTGGGGTTTATTGTGATTACAGTTGTAGGGGATACATACCATCATGGAGGGAAAAGTACGGCAGCAGGAGCTTGGGGTGGGCAGTCACTTTGTGTTAGCAATCAGAACAGCGCAGACAGGAAGTGCCTTGTCCACTGTGACCCACTTCTCCATCAAGGCTCCACTTCGTCAAGGCTCTAAAACAGCGCCATCTGCTGGGAACCCAGCATTTAAACACATGAGCCTGTGGGAGTCATTTGACTTGCAAGCCACAAGAGGGGCCAGCCTGAAAAGCACCCTGTTCTTTGTCAAACGCCTTGTCCTCTGTGGGCAAAATAGAACATGACCACAGCAGTGCCAAGGCCAGATCGACAGGAACTTTCACGGTGAGAATGGAGAGGAGGGTGTGATATGACTTCTGGCTTTGCTTGTGACTCTGGGTCATGGGACTTCACAGTCCCCATCCTTATGACGCATCCCGATACGGATCTGGGGAAGAGAAAGGTCAGGAGGCAGATGTTTGCTACTCAGGCCTGGCTTTTGTCAACCTCCAGTGAGCTCCTCCCAGTCTGGCTGGTGTGCTGGCAAGAAAGGAAAGGGATTGGGAATCAAGAGCAAAAATCAAAGGCCTCTATGTTGAAATGCACAAAATTTTTTTCCTATCTGGTAATCCCCTCCTCTGGCCTCCCTGCTCCCCACACTCTGTCCTAAAATACGTGTTTCAGAGAAATAACACATGAGACAACACCAGGGAGAGGGGAACCAGTCGCTACACAAGCGTAGCTGGAAACTCGATTTTGGGGTTAACACTCTCTGGAGGGCAAAGACCAGACAGGGAAGGTGATTCTCCCCATGGGGCAGCTCTGCCTTGCAGTCAGTCTCCCGCCAGGGCTCCGTGGCCACTCCAGGCTCTTTCAGTAATCTAGCACGTGATAATAGGGGCCTGTTTAAATGGTCTTATCCGTATGTTTATTTTACAAGATACTTTCTGGGCAAATCTTAGCTGTATGACTTTGATATCAAGTTGAGCCTTTCACTCCTCGCTCAGAGCACCCAGGGAAGCCGAGGCATCGTGAGCGATGTGTGAAGCTGCTCCAAATGCAAAGCATCGGCCAGCGGAAAGCTTGGCTATCACTCGATTCTGAGTCTTGTCTGCCAGATGCGGCGATCTGTCTTACATGGTATCTGTCCGCTAGCTGTCAGTGGCAAGCGTGCTCACTCGAGAGAGCAGGACTATGCTCCTACTAATCAGGACCAGGCGTGGAGGTGAGCCAGCAGGGCATCAGACTTAATCACCAGGACTCCAGTCTCCTGAAGATCAGCCCCAGGGCCTGGCAGACTTAACAACTTTTAACACTGTCAGCGAAGTGACCGAGCAGTTGTCTGTGGAAAGCTGAGGTCTGGGTCTGACGCAGGCAGCCAAGCACTGCAGGATGCTTAATTGGGTCTTCAGACGGATGCCTCTGTCATGTGTTTGGAAATCGGTTCCCCAGATCTAGTTTTCCATGCAGAAGGTGTGGAAACACGTGTGAATCTGTCCTTTCACCAACCCATGTGAAATTTTACCAGTATCTTACAATAGTCACTATTTTGTTTCTCTCTTCTTTCCTCCCCCCAACTCTTCTTACCCCGTGCCCTCCTCCTTTTCTTCCTCCTTCCCTTCTTTTCCTTTCTTTCTACACTGGGTATTGAAGTTAAAACTCTGCTCAAGGCCAAAAACTATTCTGCCTTGAGTCATATGCCCCGCCCTTGTATTTTGAGGCAGGACCTCAGTACACTGTTTGGGCTGGTCTTGAATTTGTAAGAAGCTCAGGCTGACCTCGAGCTTGTGGTCTTCCTGTTGTAGCCTCCAGAGTGCTAGGCTTACATCCCTACCCCACCCTGCCCTGCTCCACCCATCCCACCCCCAGCTAGAGTGCTGTGTACTTTCAGAAGGTCCCTACACAAATTGAGAAATATGGGATGCTGTGTCATTTTTCTTCACATGCTCCCAGCCTAGTCAGAGCGTGCACAGTAAGGTTTGCCATGCATCACATGTCAAGCAGATATGTCTTGGGTGAGCCTGCCATCAACCGAAGTCCCCACATCTGTCCCACCCCAGTCATAGACTTTTCACCTCAGTCACTCATAGACCAGTCTTCTGAGGGTCTCTTGTGCACTGGAACCCCAGT